ATAGATAGATAGATAGATATACATATATATGGTTTATATAAATAAATAAATATATTTTCTAGAATTTTCTCCTTTTTATAAAATGCATCAAAAGATTAATTTAATTTGATTTCATTGAATTTGAAAAAAACACATAAAAAGGTCTAAGCCAGGAGTCTGCATCCTGCAGCGCTGGAGCTGCATTTAACTTTAAATGCCCTGTTGATATAAATAACTAGCTAACATGATAACAAATACTACTTCTACAAGATTTTGTGTTTTTTATAATAAACATTTGAATTATTTTTTCACAACAGAATGGCATTAAAATGACAAGAAATGTAATTTTAGAGCATTTAGAGCTATTTGGGGTTTTTTTGCTTGGCAATTGTGCATTTTTTTATAAAATCGAAGAATACCCTTACAAATAGATTATTTCCTCATCTTTGTTAATCGTTTTATGATTTTCCTTATTTTAAAAGCTACAAATACAGGTAAACTGTTGGTTGTTTAATATTGCTAATCATTTCATATGGCAGATATTAATAACAAAAGACTTTTTTCTTTTTTTTTTTATTAAAATGTCATGTAATGTTTTACTGCTCTAAACAACTTTTAACTCTGGACTCAAGGCAAAATGGCTCTTTGGATTTAAAAGGTTGCAGACCCCTGGTCTAAGTAGCTATGGACCCAGAGTAATTAGTGATTTGTAATTTGCAGAAATATAGTTTCTCTACAGTTTGCTCTGGGTCTAAAAATATTTCTGATTATATAGCAAATAATTGAAACAAAAATATTTGTCCACTAGAGCAGAAAATGTCAAATGAACCCCTAAAAATAATAACCAACCTGTAACGAGGATTGTTTTTTAAAAGTGTGAATATTATTTTAACAAGTGACCATTTGCTCTGAAGTTGAAGATACACTGATGCTTCTAGGGAGACCAGATGGCTTATTAAAGATTTTTTTGACACAAACTATGACACTGATTCTACTTTCGAACGGAATATAATGTTTTGCTTCATGAAGGAAGAAGGCCATTTTATTTCTAAATCAACGTTCTTTCTTGTTGACTGAAAACAAATTATTACACAGACTGCAAATTCCAGAGCTTTTTATATAATTTTACTGTTATTATTTTTCTCCTTCATGAAAAGCCGATCTGCTTTCAAAATGATTTCTTTCTTATTTTTCCATTACCTGTTATCTCAATCTGCATCTGAACAAGGCTTCAGCCATGGTCTGTTTTGTATTTGAGCTCATAATTAAGTTAAGCATATCCTAGATGATGTGTCTGCACTGTTTTGGCAAATGTTTACAAAAAAAAAAGACGGGGAAAGAAAATCCATGCTTTAAAACAAAATGAGACTCCTTGTAATACTGCAATTAGTATATACATTTTCTCTCTGTGTATTTCAATATTATATTGCAGTGTGTTTTGTTCAGGCTGGAGTGAATGTGAGCCTGTTCATGTCTCTGATAAGGTGGGCGGATCCTGATGGGGCTGCAGCCAGTGGCTGGAAGCTCTGGGAGGAGTCAGGAACCGTTGCCAGAGAAAATATCCAAATAACAGATCCACTATTCCTCATGCTGCAGGGAGGTGTCATGGCACGTCTATTGCTGGCCTGCTGCTTCCTGTCTGAACTCTGTGCAGTAAAACCCTCCTCATCATCAGTCCGGTGTTTGTGCTGGAGAGCAGGTTGAGAGAGTGCAGCTCAGCTGGTAAAACGGTTCCCCTCCTGAAAGCCATTTGGAGATGGAAGGGTGAGATATGCAAAAAGAGCTCCTCCATAAGGACAATGGTGGCAGTCAGGTTGCATGGTGGTGCAATTTGTAGCGCTGTTGCCTTAAAGCAAGAAGGTCATGGGGATCTGTCTGCATGGAGTTTTCTCCCAGCAGCATTAAATGTCTAGTAAAATGTGTTATTAAAAGAGCCTTTATGAAAATAAACAAGCAATGCACATAACCAGAGTTAGTGAAGGGAATACGTGTCTGAGAGTAGATGGCACCTCTGACACTTTCACATAGTGGTGATTCTTGAACAAATTTATCAGAGGGGATAGGGTGGGGCCTGTGGTTTTTCATAGGGGCACAGCACAAAAGAATAACAAACACACACGGGAACAGTGCATCATTTAGTATATCACTTGAGCCATAAAGCCAACCCCTGATCTGACAGATGCAAACTGTGACCCTTTCTTATATGGCTGATGCTTAAAGCTGACTGTAATTTCAAGATAATTGTTACAGTAAATTGCAAAGTGGAACATTTTAATTGGTCTTTTCTGTCAGTGCATATCATCAGAATAAATTGATTTAGTATCACACTGCACAAACAGATCAGAAAAATGAAAGATCTTTCAAAATGACTGTGGCTTCCCTTAATTTAGGTAAATAAGATGATCTGCGCTAAAATATGATAATTATATATAATGCACTCCAAATATAATAATGGGGTTATTTCTTTCCTATTTTAAATGGAAATCATCTAATTCCATCTGCTGATTGTCTCACATTTCTACTTAAATCAAGGAAAATACACTTTTTCACAAAAAAAAAAAATACACAAGATTTAATTATTTATGTCTACATTTTACAGTCTGTGATTTCAGTACAGGTGCCAGGGCCAGTTCTACAGAGGCCCCTGTTGGCCCCTGTCTAGAACCACTCATGCTTTAAATGGAATATATAAAACATAAAAAACTGCCCTGAATTAGGAGAAAAGGATAATTAAAAATGATGTAAATTATTGTTATGATCCAACAACAGCCTATAACGGTGAAGTCTGAGAGCCTTAGTGGCTGAGAAGGTTCCATGTTCTTTAACTGATGGTGAGGTGACTGATTTCATTTATTGTTGGTCTTGAGACTCAGATACAAAGGTATAACCAGAAAACCCTAATAACAGTCATGGTTTGTTTGTGCAATCTCTGTGAAAGAAAAATCCATATTCAACTATGTATAATGTATTAAAATGCATTTAAACATTAAAGTTATAGCATTATCTAATAATATTCAGTACATTCACAGTTTTTTTAGCTTTTATTTTGTTAAATAGAAACAGAAAGTGTCACCCTGGTGTAATGGCGGATGCCTTCCTTCGCTGCGCCCGTGGATACGGGATAATGTTATAGCATTAAAGTTATAACATTATCTCATAACATTCAGTTCATTCATGTTTTTTTATTTGAGTTTTTATTTTGTTAAATAGAAACAGGAAGTGGCACCACGCTGTAATGGTGGACGCTTTCCTTCGCTGCTCCAGTTGAAATGGGA